AGAAAAGGGTCCTGAAATTCTGAAATTCTTCCCCCGAACTTTTCTCACTAATATACCTCGTGAGAGATTGACTTTCCTTTAATTGCCGACTTCTGAAACACCAAGGTGACACTGTGCTCTACTCGCAACATCCTACGTGCAATCGTCACACAGTAAAAGAAAAGAAAAAAAAAACACAGATTCTTCTCCCTGCCTCCAAAATAATTTCTGCCTCTTCTTGGGCCACAGGCTGTAAACGATTCATTCAGAATCGTCCCGGGCCAGGGATGGTGCTGCCGTCTGCCTGACAAGTGCAAGGACCCAAGTTCGATCCCTGTTACCACCCAAAATTAAACAAAATCCACCACTCTGTCGATGATTCTGTGCTTTTCTAGCTTCATTTTCAACCATTTCTGCTGTAACAGCAGATCTTGGAACCAAACCACTGCCTAGGAATATAAATATCATTTTTTTGCATATAAAAAGTCTCTTCTATTAAACAAAACTCTGGGAAATGTGGAAACTGTTGCCCTACGTTTCTGGACAACCCTAACGGGGACTGGTACCCTAATTTTGGGAACTTAAGGGGGCACAGCTGGCTTCTCACGCGCCTCTCTGTTCAGCCCATTTCCCTGTGGCGTGATGTTCAGTTTGGATAAAACACCGGACGCGGGGACTCGGGTGGACGAGGACACGGCGCCTGTGTCTCGGAGCCGCCTTTCCGCTGGGCGGCAGCCGTCACCGGGTTTGTGATCAGGGCCGGTGCGGACCCTGGGGAGAGAGGAGGCCGGAGCCGCTGCAGGACGCGGCCGGGGCGGTGGGAGGAGGCTGTGCACGGCCGGGAGGACACTGGTAAGAATTCAGGCACCGTATCCTGGACTACAATACGCGTCGTTACTGTGAGGATCCGCCCTGCCTTGCCCAGCCCTGTACACGTGGGGGGACGGGGAGCTCACTGCTGGAACGCGGGGCCATAGGTGTACACGGTGCTGCTGCTGAGGTTGTAGATGAACGGCAGGTGCTTGTGAATGTCGGCCGAGGCCCAGTTCCTGAAGAAGCCATTCAGCAACCCTTGGTCGGCCCCTGAGGGACTCAGCAGGAGGAACAGAAGTCAGGCGAGGGCGGGAGAAGGGTCCGGATCACGAGGGACACTTCGTCCCCACAGCCACCGGCCCTCCCACGATCACTGTCCTCTCCTCAGTGTTCTACCCATAATCCTCCACAGCACTACCCGGGAGGCTGAGGCAGGAGGGTGAAAGGTTTGAGCCTAGCGTGGGCAAGTTCTCCACTGAGCAGGATCCCGTCACAAAATAAGAATAAAACAGAAACAGCGTAGGGGTGCAGCTCAGTGCTCTCAGAGCCCAACACCCTCCCCGGAGGTCCACGCAGGCCCCGGGGATTCTGCTGGATGTCAAATTGTTTCCACAGGCTTCTCCCCTTCACCGCGAGCCACAGGCGGTTCACCTGGAGCCCACATTTTGTTTTACTTTCTCTTCCCCCACGTGCTGATCCTAAATCTTCTCCTCCGTCTCCTTCTCCTCCATGTCCTCCTCCTCCACCTCCTCCTCCTCCATCTCCTCCTCCACCATCTCCTCCTCCATCTCCTCCTCTGCCTCCACATTACAGTGGATTGAACCCAGCAATTGTACCCTGGGCTCCTTCCTTAAGCCCTTTTAATTTTCTTTAATTTTTAAAATTTAAAGTCTTATTCATTTGCTAAGTTGCCCAGCCTGGGCTCAAGGTGATGACCCTCCTGCCTCAGCCTCCCAGAGCGCTGGCGTGACTTCCAGAACCACCATCTCCACTCCTACCCCCCCCTTCACACTGTCCTTCTTGGACAAAGGGAAACACCAGAGGGTGAGGGGCGGAGCCCGCTGTGGCCTCCCCGCCTCTCGCACACGCCTGTGCCCCAGGCTCACCATCAAAACTGCCGTGGTCTATGGCGTGCTGCAGGAGGCGGGCGTGGGTCTGCAGCGAAGGCCGGAAGACGAACACCCCGCTGTTGAAGCAGTCCGGCCACCCGGGGTCGGGGGCTGCCGAAAACTCGCGCCTCTCGAACAGCTCGTCGATGTTGCACAGAACCTGGAGGACCACAACGCGGGGGACCTGTGAGGACTTTCCATTTGCCTCCGGTGGAGGCCGCTGAGAAAGCACCGTTGAGAAACCAGGAGGAGGCAGACCATTCGCTTGGTTCTTAGAAACTGTTGCCTGTTTCTCTCCTGACTCCTTTGGAGACTTTCAGTCTTCTGCTCCAAAGGAGAAACTTTCATTAGAAACACGGTATTTGTTTTTTGTTTTTTCCTTTTTATTGAATTTATTGGTACAATCTAGGTATAATATACAGTTACATTCATTACTGGGGTCTTGTACCCTGTACGTGACAGGTCTCGGTTCTCATTTTTTCCCCTTGCCCCTCCTCCCTGCCCTATTTACAAACACTTTATTTCCATTTTTTCATTTTCTCATATTTCTTCTTTTCCTTTATACCCTTCCCCCTACCCTTCCACTTTCCCTACACCTTTAGCCCTTTTCTTCCTATTTGACATTATCAATTATGTCATTAGGATCTTATGTACTATTATTGTTTACTCACACCAGAGAAACTATTCAGTACTTACACATGTGTGACTTATTTATCTCACTTAGGAGTATATCCTCAATTTGTATCCATTTTCCTATGAATGAATCTACTTTCTCATTCTTTCTGGCTGAGTAGTATTCCATTTTATAGAAAAAAAAACCCACATCTTTATCCAGTTTTGCAACTGATGGGCAAATGGGCTGTTTCCAAGTCTTAGCTATTACAAACTGTGCCGCTATAGATATAGGTGTGCATATGTCACTGTGATATGATTCTTTTAGTTCTTTTGGAAAGATACCCAGCAGAGGGATGGCTGGGTCAAATGGAACCTCCAGTCCCAGCCCTTTGAGGTATCTCCATATTGATCTCCTCCACATCTTTATCCAGTTTTGCAACTGATGGGCAAATGGGCTGTTTCCAAGTCTTAGCTATTACAAACTGTGCCACTATAAACATAGGTGCACATATGTCACTGTGATATGATTCTTTTAGTTCTTTTGGAAAGGTACCCAGCAGAGGGATGGCTGGGTCAAATGGAACCTCCAGTCCCAGCCCTTTGAGGCATCTCCATATTGATCTCCATAGCGGTTGCACCAGTCTGCACTCCCACCCACAACGGAGAAGGGCTCCTTTAGAAACACTGCATTTGGACTGACTTGAAGTGGTCAAAGTAACACTGCGGTAACATAAATTCTTTTCAAAAGGATTTTACCAGTTACTTTCCTTGGGGAGACGTTTCTCTGGCTCACGGTCTCAGGGGGTTCGGTCCGTGGTCGGCTGCTCCAAGGCAGGAACGTCGTGTCCGTTGGGGGTGGTAGAGGAAAGATACTCACATTATGGAGGCCAGGAAGTAGAGGGAGAAGGGAGACCAGGAAGGGAGAGAAACCCTTCTAGGCCACGGCCCACGGTGACCTGAGTCCTCCAAGCAGGTCCTAATTCTTAACAGCACGTTCTGGTACAACCTCATCTATGGATGAACACACTGGCGAGTAACGACCGCCCGATCCTAGCACCTTCCGAAGCCCCACATCTGAACACGTGAGGCTTTCGGGATATTTTGGAAGCAATCCGTAACCCATGGAGCGCTCCTAACTGTGCACCCCCCTTATTCCAGCAAGCGTGACCCCGGAAACTATGCAATTCCCCCAACAGATCGATCTGCCATCCAACACGATAGGGTCCACCGCCTCGGGGAGCCTGGCTACCAATTCCTATTTTCTGTAATGCACATCGATGTCTAGTCTGTATCCTTTATCCTACAGGTGACGACGCCAAAGAACAACCAGGCAACGCTCCAGGCTGATCAGGAGCGCACGGCTCCATCTACGTCACGGCAACATCCTGCCTTCTAATTTTGCTACTTGCAGCAGAGCGGACGGCGATGTCCACATCGTCTGGTCCTCTGGAAAGGCCACCTCCTCGAACAGCTGTGCGCCCTCGGAACCATGGAACACGGGGCTGCTTGCTACGCCTGCTTCTCAGGGACTAAAAACCCACGTTCGATGATCACGGTCAAGCGCACAGTGCCTCCTGGGAATGGTCTTGTTGACCTTCGTCGTGGACTGGCGTGCGGATGTCCGGCCTGGTCATCGCTCGCTTCTGGGTGTCTGGAGTGGTCATGGAAGTTCTGCCCTGGGGGGCCGTGATCTGGCCCCTGAGACTCTTGTCTCTCTGGCTGTTTGCTGACTCTCTGCTTCCTGGCTGCCAGGAGGCAAACATCTTTTCTCCACCATAACCTTCTGCCCTGTTGTTCCTGCCTTGGAGAAGCCACCCGTGGACTGAGACCACTGGAGCAGCCGACCACGGAGTGAACCTGCTGAGACCCCTGGGGCAGCCGACCACGGACTGAACCCCTCAGACCATGAGCCCCTGAAAACTCCCCTCCTCTAAGCCATGTATACAATAATTCCTCTTAGCAACAGAAAACTGACCAATCTAGGAACCTACCAGCAAGAGCCACCGTCCATCCTCAGCATCCCGAGGTCCGGTCCCTGACGGATTCCTCCTCCGGTGGAGGACGTGGTGCCTGTCTCTGCCCCTCAGCCCCCACTCACCAGAGTGTCCGGATCCAGGAAGACGCCCTTGCTGTACTGGGTCAGCGTCCAACAGTGCAGCTTGGTGAGGGTGACGCCCAGCTCCGGTCTCTTCCGAAACGCGAGGTGGGTGCGGTCTTCGCTCCCCGACAGGTTCACCTCAATCACCTCGTCAAACACCCGTGAGAGGACGACCCTGGTGAGGACATGCGGCCAACACCAAGTCAGCAGAGGTCCGCTCCGCACGGGGCCGCCACCGCCTTCAAGAGGGTCCCGATGCCGCTCGGAAACGGGGAACACGGGGTCTTTCGGGGCAGCTTCCACACCTACCGAGAGCGAAAGCCTCGCGGACGCACAGGAACTACACAATATACTCTTACATAAACAATGGGTCACGGGAGAAATTAAGACAGCGTCTGGAACTAAACGTCTTTTTAAATAAATTTTCTTGGCACCATTTAAAACACACGTAACAATCACCTTCAGCAAAGGGAATCAGAACCCATACCTGACACATCTTGATTCCTCTTTTTCCTCCCAATGTCCCCCCTGCCCAGATTCCCTCATTGATAAAAGCTTTGCTTCCATTTTTTTCCCTTTTCTCATTTTTTTCCATTTCCCTTTCCTGTCTCTGCTCCCCCTTCACAGTTCCTCTCTCCTTTTGAATAGTTTCTTCCTCTTTCATATTATCTGATATACGTTTTGGCCTTTATTTACCCTTTCGCTTTGTCACACCACGGGGACAATTAGATATTGACCTATATGTGTCCGGAGTATCTCACGGGAGAGCGTGGTCTCACGGTGCACCTCTCTACCTAGAAGTGTCTCGGGGTCACCTTTTTTATGGCTGAGTAGTACTCCACTGCATAAGAAAACCCAACATCTTTCTATACTTGATCTTAGCCAAAAGGCCAAGAAGCGATGCTCCCAAACCTTTCTTATCCATTCTTTGGTTGATGGGCGTTTGGGTCGTTGGAACTCGACATTAAGGCCGGTACATGAAAGCGTTCCTAGGATACAAGTTTATAGCTTGAACGCTCACGTCAGGATAACAGAGGAGCCCAAACAAATCACCTCATGATTCATCTCAAAGTCCCAGAAAAACAAAACAATCCAAACTCAGAACGACTAGAAGAAAGGAAATTACAAACATCAGAGCAGTAATTTTTTAAAGATTTGACATAAAAATGCAAAGAATTAATAAATCAGAGTGGGTTCTTCCAAAGAATATTTTAAAAAACAGATAAACCTTAGTCAATCTAACCAAAAAAGGACAGAAAAGACAGAAATCCTTGCAACTCGGAGATGAAAGAGTTGGAATTATACCGGACTCAGCCGAAATACAGATGACTAAGCACTCCTTCGTAAACCTGTACACCCAGCAACTGGAGAATTCACGAGAAATCAATAGATTCGCACAACTATGCACACCCCTCATTCACACCCAAACTGTGTGCAAACCACATATGTATTCGACACTCAACTCTTAAAACACAGAGCTTCTTTGCTCCACCTTCCAAGTCAGTAGAGGCGACTGAGAAAGTTCTGCTGTCACCATTTCCCTTGCCTCCTAGCCCAGCTGTTGATGGAATTCGTGTCCCAGGGTTGAGACCGCAGACACAAACGAGCCTCATCTCAGAGCCTCGGACTCAGGTGCTCCGTCCTCCTGCTCGGCCCGGCCCCTTCGCGGAGACACAGTAGTAGAAGTGCGATCCAGTCTCAGGAACACACCGGGCAGAAGTGTGCGAGCGTGTGCGTGTGAGTTCGTCTGTCCACAGACTCTACTGTACCGCACAGACGGGATGGCCCTGGGCTCCACATCTGGAAGGTCTTCACCGGCCGTGATCGCAAACCCGGTGACGGCTGCCACCCAGCGGAAAAGCGGCTCAGAGACACAGGCGCCGTGTCCTCGTCCACCCGAGTCCCCGCGTCTGGCACCGCTCGACTCCCGGCTCCTCCCTGAGGTCACCGTTTTGGGTCCACTCGGGACCTCAAGGCGGCCGGGATGGCGGGAGGAGCGTGTTTTAAGGGTTACAGGGCATTATGATTTCTGCAGCATTACTGAGAGTCTCCCCACCCCAGGAACCAGTGTCCACTAACCCGGCCACCTCCCCGAGCTCCCCACGTCCTGGCAACTCCTCTATGAATCTGAAAACCCAGTAGATCCTGGACCGTCTCCACACCCACCGTGTTTTCCATCTGTTTGCATCCTGAAGTTCTCATCTGGGTCGGCAAGATCACAACTAAAGAGCCCATTAATCTGCACCAGTCTTTAAGACAACGGTTATAGGCTGGGCGTGGTGGTGCACACCTGTCATCCCAGCACTCTGGAGGCTGAGGCAGGAGGATCGCTGTGAGTTCGAGACCAGTCTGGGCTACATAGTGAGTTGCAGGTCAGTCTCGACTACATAGTGAGACCCTGTCCCCCGCAAAAAAAACCAAAGACAACAGGTTACAGCCAACACGGTTGAACTTTTCCTCCATTTTTTGGAGAAAAAGTGAAAGATCTCCCCACGAACCCAGTGTTTACAAAAAGACATCTGCTACCGTAACTAGTTACAAATATCGCCCAGCCGTCGGCTAAGTGGACTGTTGAACACACTTTGTCGTGTGTGCCCAATTTCGCTTTGCATCTGCTATGTACGACCCAGGAAGGGGGGCTCTCGCCCTTCAGCCCAGCGCTCTGGGAGGCTGAGGCAGGAGGACCACAAGTCGCAGCCCCGTCCGGACAGCTTAGCAACTCAGGAAGACCGTGACTCAACATTTAAAAACAACAAAAGGGCTGAGGACATAGCTTGGTACAAAGATCGCTGGTTCAACCCCCAGGACGCGCGCGCGCACACACACACACACACATACACACACTCTGTAGTTTTTCCACGATGGTCGATAACCAACCTTGGCATCGCTAAGACTGTACACGCCTTCCAGGTTTTTTTGTTTGGTTTTTAAATATAAACAGCTGAATACACATTGGTTATTCACGCCGATACCTTTTCCGTATCCCTCCCTCCGTCTCTCTCTCTCTCTCTCCCCACTCAGTGTTTCCAAGAGTTCTTTATACCCACTGGGCAAAAGCCAGCCGTCCTGTCATAAATACTGTTCATGCCCTTGGAAGTCTGCTTTCATTTCTACACATGGGACGGCTTCTCTGATTCCCTGCTTTCCTTTGTTTAACTTAGAATAGAATTCTCAGCGCGGGGTTAAAAGAAACGTTGGCTTACAACAATTCCTGCAGGTGTTTTTCGTTGTCACAACCCAGGGACAAAATCACCCCGCTGTTATGCAGAAGCTGTTGGCCAGAGCGGCTTTCCACAGCCCGAGACGCACGGCACAGACCCCCACCGAGAGCCCCGCTGCACAAGGTACCAACGCCCTCACTGAGCAGTCCCACGGGTTGCTTTCTCCGAAGTCTTCTCCGCGTAATTTTCACGGCTCAGTCATGTGGAACGCTTTCTGGCCTGTGTTTGACTGTCACCAGACAGGGATCTCCCCCATGACGAACCTCCTCCCTTCCTTATTTCTTGCCACAACCAGGGGGAATTTTTTTTTTCTGACGTCACATCCCCCTTTTTGGTTGCCCCAAAACATGCTCGGTACCCAGCCGGGATCAACCGTTTCTTCCAGACCTCCAATGCAGTGAGTCCTCCACAATATTGGCTTTTAAAATGGAATCGAATGACTTCTTTTTTCGGTCCTAGGAATTGAACCCACGGGCTTGGAGCTACATCCCAGCACCTTTTAAAGTTATTATTTTGACATAAAGTCTAGAGAAGTCTCCAGGTGGCCCAGACTCAGCTAGAACTTGGAAATCCTCCTGCCTCAGCCTCCCCTTCATGAAAATGTTATCTACATGGATGCATTCGTACGGTTTTCTCATGGTTCACGTGTTGAAAGTTTAATCTCCAGCGTGAGACACCCACTTACTGTGACTCTTGGTGTTCAGAGGCGGGGTTTCGGGAAGCGGCGAGGATGAAAAAAGATCGTCAAGTTCAATCGGGATGGTTTTGCAGGAACAGGGAGAAACATCAGAACACAACTTACTGTCCGTGGGGGATAACTTGATCACTTATGTGACTATTTATTTATTTATTGAGGTACCAGGGATCGAACTCAGAACCTTGCGCTTACCAGGCAGGCGTGGCGCCACTGAGCAATGTCCCCGGCCCCCCTTACATGATAATTTAGCAGAGGATTAGGTGCAAAGGCCCCACTGGATGCCTTGTGCTCTCCACTGCTCACCGAAGTCTATGTGCTCCGAACCAAGGCATCTCTGTTCCCAGCCAATGTCTTCTCCTGGTCCAAGTGGTCCCCCACCCCGCCATGTCCCGTCCAGGGTCTCCATTCCTGCACTGTCCTTTTCCCAAGGCACCAAGTGTCCAGAAAGACACAATGTGATCGGTCGGTGCTACTCCCGCCCTGGTCCAGGCCCCACGAGGAAACCGTGCGTGGGTTTCTCTTCCCCAGGGCCCTCGTTTTGCATAAGCACTGCATTGCGTCCACACAGCAAAGGTCCCTCGGGGCCGTATTTCTCAGGACATCGCTCATCGACTCGGTTACTTTTCTTCTTGCTGAGACAAAACAGCCAGCAGTCAGAAGTTAAAAGAGGACAGGTTCATTCAGCTCACGGTTTGCGGAGTTTCAGACCATCGTCGGCCGCCGCAAGGCAGGGTGGGTGGCCGAGGAGAAGGCATTCCGTGATGGGCACCAGGTAGCCAAGCGAGGAAGGCAGGAGACAGGTGTTTCCGTCCCTGTGTGGGGCCCAGGCTACCGGGATGAGGGCGGGGCCGAGCTGATCAGCGGACGGACGTGCGTCCTGATCACCACCCCGAACCACTCTCCAGATCCGGCCACCTCGGAAAAAGAGCCACCTATGCGCGCAGCGTGACGCTCCGGGCGGACAGCCAGGCGCCAGGCAGAACGCTCGCCACGCACCCTCCTGCGCCTTCGACGTCTTCCACGCCCGACGCCCACCCTCCCACTCGCACGCGGGAGCGGC